GCCTCGCGGCAGTCCACGGCACGATGCCAGGTTGATGGAGCTCATATTTCGGCAGTTCGTCAGTATTTCCTTTACCGCCTCATCGGAGACAGAGGAGCCGCACAGATTTAAATGACTGCAGGGCAAGAATAATTTAAATTTTATTAGCATACAATATATACATTAGTTTTATATATACTCACGCCATCGGCGAATCTCTGCCCTTTTCTGCTAGGGCGCGCAGCGCATTATCAATGGGCTGCTGCATATTCGCCCAAGCCAGATCCAATTCTATGAGACTGTGCGCCCACTTTGAGGCAATGAGCTCCAGACCCGACCTGCGGTGAGAAAACTTTTGATTAGACTGGGTTCTGTATACTAATACTAAATAAACACACCCCATATCACGAGTGACTGAGCAACCAGACAGGAATAAGTGCTTGATATCCCAGGCAGGTAAGCGGATTAGGCTCTCGTGCGTCAGTCGTGTGCAGTTGCGTACGTCCAGTAGCTTTAACTTGGAGCTGCTCTTAAGGATGCGCTGCAGATGATCGTCGCTTATGATGCGCGATTCATCTGTTAAGGCAGCCACGGACAGTTCTTCAAGTTCTGGGAAACCGGGGGAGTCCATCTACAAGGGCTTTCTATTAGTACATATTTCGTAAATTTAAAGGCGAATCTTACAATTTCCTGCATTGATGCCGTGCTTGGTGTTATATGAGAGTTTGTCACACGCAGGACCTTTAGCTTCTGGCAGCCACGCTGCAATTTCTCAATGTGGAGTACACCGTGTGATGTGGCCTGAGTGGTCACGTTCGAGAGATCCAATAATGTTAGGTTCGGACAGTGCGTCTGCAACAGGTAAAACAAGCCAATAAGCCATAAGAATGGTGTTGTAACAGCATTCTACTCACCGAAAGAACTCCGACTATTTGTGGTATTCCTGCCAGACGATTGTGCGCCAAGTAGAGGTGCGTTAAGCGGCTGCCCATAGTCTGCAGTGCATTGCATAGGGAGTTGACACCCACAGCACTCTTGCTGGCATTCATCTCAACCTGTGCAATACAAATTTAAATCAGATATAGCTTCGCAACCACATGCCACAACATACATTGATGGAACTTAAGTCCAAGCGCTGCAACTTGTGCATGTTATCCACCAAATACGTAAGATGATCCGAGGTGAAACCTTTCCAGCCGGACAGGGTAATGCCTGCAAGATTCGGGCAACCGCTAGACAATTTGGCAAGGAAGCAATTTATGTCTGAAATTTTCCAATTGGCTGAAAAAAGATATTTTCAAATTAAATTATAGTTTCAAGTCTATACTTTTCAACTTACAAACATTCAAGTCTGTACAGGCACTGCAGCGGTTGTCGACAAACCACTTGAGCTTAAGTTCGGTGCGGTACTTCTCCTTGACCCATGTGGTAAGATCCATGGTGCGCCACAGAGTAGGCCTAAGAGACACCTGTCGCCAGAGCGAGCAAACTCTGCCAAGGCGAAAGAGGGTGGGCAGGCAACCCTGTGTATCCACAGCGTGCTCAAAGATCTGTAAAATGTATTCAAATAAGGCACACAATTTACATATATGCTGCTTGATTTTATACTCACCCTGAAGAGGACTTCCTCGGGCAGCTTTTGAGCCCAAATACTCTGCTCGACTGGCTCGCCAGCCGCCTCCGCAGCATCCGGGCTCGTTGAAACCTTCTTCTCTCCGCCACTACCACCTCCTCCGCCTTTTTTCTTCCGTGGCTCATACTCGGCCTCATCGCTGTCCTGTTGCTTTGGTTTACGGACGCGCTTGCGCACCGTTTTTAAAGCTGTGGGAACTGCAACTGGCGGAGATGTGACACCAGCAGGTGCGCCTTCGCCGGCATCGGATTTCTTAATGCACAGTTTGATGCCCATCTTGTTGTCGCTGATTTCGCTTTCGTACATGGGCAGCGCCTTAGGTTTGCGGCATCGGGATGCACGTGGTGACGTAGTGGCCGCTTTGCTGGGCTTCTTGCCGCTGAGCGCTGTGGAGAGTGGTTTCCCCGACTTTGGTACGGAGCCATTGACCGGTGCCGCCGTGGCCTGTGCCTGCACCTGAGACGGCGGAGCCGATGACTGTTGCTCCGCCGCCGGCGACCGCTGACCTTCGGAGGCTGGGGAGCAGGACGTCGATGTTGCTGTGTTAGTCTCATCGGTTTGAGTTTCTGACTTGGGCGGTGACAGGATGTTCTCCGGAATGACGGCCGTGCTTCCCGATGTGGCAGTTTCGGCCGCCAGCAGTTGTGGCGGGGTTTGTGAGGGCGTCGAAGGAGTGAGTGTGTTTATGTCCACTGTGGCAGATTTCTCCTTATCTAACAATTCACTCTGCTCCGGCTGCTGGCCGCCAACATCATCCGCCTCCACTTCCATAGCCGTTTCCGCTGAATCTTTGGCGGTGGACACTTCAGCTTTCTCTTTTACACCATCTTCATCGGACACCTTGGTCTCCTCCACTTGAGAAGATAGAGATTCGCTCATCACTCCACTCGCTCTTCTGCAGTTAGAAAAGAGTACAACCGTTACTACCTGCTTTTCAATGGAGTATTTACTGGTTCCGTTATATTTCTAATATTATCTTGCTGTCGCCATTTCACTGTTCGAGTCTTCGAATAAGCGAAGCTTAATTTTAACACTAGATATCAGTTTTGAATTGCAAAATGCACTATTAGTGTCCGACTCCTACTTAAATTGCCAAGAAACCACTTAAAAAAATGTTGTTTAGTAACTATGTTATACTTATGTATATAGGTGCACTTTATCTATTAATTATACCGATATAGGGTTTTCGAGAATAGACTGCATATTATTTGTCAAGATCAATTTTCTTAATTCACTTTCCAAGATGCCAGTTATTTATTACGTATTTCTTTAAATTATTTCGACAAATGCATTATCGTTTAAGAACCACAATTTGAAATTTTCTCATTCCGGCCGGGAAAATCGATGCAAAAGAACTCAACCCATTTTGGCGGTTTTTCACGGTTTCCCATTCGCCCCCGTTCTCAATACGAAAAACTCTCTCCTCTCCGAATTCAACATACGAGTCGTAAATCTCACCTGCTACAACTTACATATATATTTTTGTTTTTATTTTTATTCGTTTGTTCGCTCTTAATAAACAAGTCGACCGCAGTTGGGGTCGCACCGACTTGTTAGTGACCTGTGCGCACACTCCGTTCGAGTTCCCGCCATAAATCTCAGTTGTAAATAAGGGGTGAGAGGAGCGTTATGGAGGGATCTGTGCAGATAGGCAGTTTGAGTGTCCAGGGGGTTTCTTGTTTCACTATGCTGTTCCTTTTTTTTCGCGGCTGTGCACTTCACTTATTGCATACAATGCTCGGTGCGACGCGTGCAGGGTGCATAATCGGCATTCAACTCACCACTTGGAAGAGAGGTAGGTACACAAATGTATGTTATCTGCTGAGACACGGGTTGTTTCGCTCGCACGCACTGCGGTACTGTACTGCACGGCGGTGTGTGAACGGTGCAGCACAAGCTGTGTGTGTTTGAATTGTCCAAATTCGATTCTAAAGATTTTTTCCTTTGGCGTTTAGTGGACACTTTAGGCTTCTTTTGCTCCCCGAACAGCCGATTTCACACTGGTGCCGATTATAAGAGGCACTGCACTGCATTTGGTCACGGCATAAGCCACAATTCGTACATTTTAAAGGCGCACAATCAATTAAAACTTATTTATTTGCTGCAACGAACGACGTAGATAGAAAGCTGGGGATGTTGTTGTTGTATCGATACATCACAACAATCGCCAGTGGGACCAGGTGAGACAAAAACAATAAATGCTGTACTTGCAACTTCGGGTGGCAAGTCCTTGACGAAAGCGTTAAAATTTGAATTTCCGCAAAAGGGAAACACCCGTAGTTGGGACTCCTCAGTATGCGTAATCCAGATTGGCCACCTCGGGCAGCACGGTAAGATTCTTGTGCACCTCCAGCCAGCGCTTGGCATCGTAGGTGGTCTTGGCGTAGGTGCGTCCGAACTTGTAGGTCTCCCCAGGAACGTGGCCCGCATAGCTGGGCACCATTCCGCTGTCCTCGTGGTAGACGACGAAGTGTCCCACGGGCGGGCAGGTGATGGCCGGCCGGCTGAGATCCTGGCCACAACACCACGTGTCCCGCTTCCGCTTGTACATGTAGTCCGAGAAGCTGCACAGCGCCCGGTTGGTCAGCACCTTGTTGGACTCCCCGAATCGGGTCACCGAAATGGGAATATGGCCGGAATATCCATTGATTATGAACTTGTCGGGATCTTCATCCTCTAGGAAGTGCGGCGATGTGAATTTGCTGTAGCAGAGTTTCTCTGTTTTTGGCGGGCAAGTCTCCTCCTTAATGCCCTTGGACACTCCGGTCACCGGGATCAGTGGCGACCGGTAGTAGGTCTGTGGCAGTAGTCTTTCGTTGATCTTGCGCTCGAAGAGACCGTTCCCGCTCTCCAGTAGATCCCGATGCCTGAGCGTCCGCTTATCGCACCGATACAACTCCATCAGCGTCTCATGCCGAGCTACTCCAGCGGATGCCGCAGCAACATATCGCTTGCCAATCTGACTCACAATGTTCGGGACGAAGCCGGCGTAGCCCGGCAATATGGGATGCCTGTAAACGGAGTCCACCAGCCCCTCCCGAGTACGAAGAATCTTCAGCTCTTGCTCCGTGGGATAGTCCTTAAGTCCGCGCTTGGCATGAATGGGCGCCACTATCAGTTCCGGGGCGTGGTAAATACAGGGGTCTATTAACAGCTTGTGCGTCTGCCGGCCATAAGTTCGACCCACTCGGTCCCGATTCTGGGCGCAGTGACCCGTGTAACTGAGAGATACAGCACCATCCTTGATACATTTATCCATTAGTGGGGCAATTCAGGTTGCTTACCCTGGCACCAAGTGCGGCTCCGGCGTTATAGCGTGATCCATCCTGCTAACTGCCTATAATTTATCTTGCACAATTAATTTGGAAACTTTACGGAATTTACAATTGTTTTATAAAGGACTTATATTTACAATGAATAACAAGGGCCTCAAACGACAGATAAATAAAGAAAGCTAGATGTGTTCTAAAAGGAAACTATTGTCAACCGCAACCCATGGAATCTTGGCTTCAGACTCCTGCCACCCGTAACATTTCCTCGATGTTAACAATCTTCTCGCGCGGCTTTCCCTTGGCTTTTCCCGCCGCGCACTCAAAATCATTGATTCGCTGCCAGCCATCCCAAGTAACCACTCGTTGGCCATCCGCATCGTATCCTGGTTTGGCAGAACTGGTGTCCACGGCATTCGTGGTAATGTCATCGCAGATGGTTTTGGCCACCGCAAAGGCGCCGTTCATGGTGGTCACAATAACGCCAGTGGGTCCAGTTCCTAGCCAGCCAGCTACATAAAGTCCAGGGTCAACCTTTCCGGAAGCATCATCCTTGAGAATCCGACCATCAACGTTGTGAACTCGGCCGCGTCGGGTGTCAAAACTGATGCCCGTATCCACGCAACTCGATTTGTAGCCAATGCTGCGCAGGATTAAGTGCGAGGAAAGGCGCTCTGTGGAAGTGGTGGGCACTGCTGCTTCCTGCTGCAGTTCCGTGACGGAAAACTCCATTTCTCCTGGGGATATCGCCTTCGGAGCGCGCAGAAAGATGGGCAGGAACTGTTTAGAGCCGGCGATCCTGCCCTGCTCCTTTAAACTCTTAAGCATCAGTTCGGTGAGTCTCTTGCGAGGTCGCTGCAGTTTATCCAGCTGCAGGTCAATGCCTAAAGAATAGGACGTCATAATCAATAAATAGGACTTCGGAGATTCCACAATTCTTACCCGAGAAATCCTCAGAACGCCATCGGGTGTCTACATTGGGAAGCTTAAGCATCTCACGCAGCTCCTTGATGGTGAAGGCGGCCTGCAGGGGACCACGTCTGCCAACGAGGTGGACGCGTTCCACTTGGCTGCGCGAAAGGGCTTCCAAGGCGTACTCAGTTGTGTCCGTACTCTGCAACAATGCACATGAGAATCGTGGATTTATATGGGTATTTCAGAGAAACTCACCTTCAGAGCATCCAAGGGACTAAGCAGCATCCTAGCCACATCCACAGCCACGTTGCCCTGACCCACAATCGTGACATCGCGACCACTAAGATCCGGAGCCAAGTTTTCCGCACCCGGCAATCCATTATACCAGGCCACAAATTTGCGTGCTGATATCACATTACCCTGCTGCTCGTTCTCCAGCTCTAGCTCCCGATCCTGGTCCGCTCCGTAGGTAAGGAGCACGGCATGATATCGATCTCTCAGCTCCCGCAGGCTGACATCCGTGCCCAGCGATATGTTGCCAAAGTAACGCAGACGCGGATGCTCGGCGGTCTTGGTGAAGGTGTTGATTACGTTCTTGACCTCCGGATGGTCGGGCGCAACGCCAAAGCTGCAATGTGCGATTTGCATAATGGGACAAGTCGTTAGTCGATAAGTGCGATGGAATGCCGTGCACACGCAATCGTGTGCGGATATAAGCATTTGATTTCGCAGGTGGGAGTCACAGTTTGCCTTCCAAGATGCAGGTGCTAGGCGGCCCTCCACTCAGCTTGTGTCTTTTGCTGATCATCACTCCGTCACTGATTGCAGCCAATCCCCTGTGGAGTCTTGACCAGGTGGGAGGTATGTACTACCCCTGAATTTCTCGCCAGGATTACACACATTTCGTACTCTTCAGCCTACCTCAGTGGCATCTTCCGCTCCGTTGTGGGTCCAATATTTGGCTTTGGCCTGGCGGCCAATAGCACCGCCTTGTAAAGCTACATAGTTCTGCTTACCGCACCAGTCCGAAGGGAACCGGCAGCTTCTCGACCACATCCACTACGCAATTGTCCAGCTGCTTGAGGATCAGTTGGGCGGCATAGAAGCCGGCGGGCCCGGCGCCCACAATGCATATCCGCTTGGTGGGCGTGGCGCCCTGGATCACCTGCAATCGGGCGGAACTCGTGTGGAGGCCACGTCTCAAGATGTTTAGGCAATTGATGCCCATCGTGGATCATTCGCCGACTTTTGGCTACTGGGACATAAGCTCTTTCCAATCTTACAGAAAATCTGGCGGTTTGCTCGGTGATCTCTTTATAAAAGTTGTTTGCTAACGATGATTTGTTATTTACTCGTTATCTCCCGAAAGACTTTCGCCAGCGGTCCCCGAAATACCCAGTGAAATCCAACCAAAACAGTGTATTTACCCGACTTCGCGTTTTGGTAACACTACGTGATTTCTTTTTTATTGGCTTTTCACGATTTTCTGATGGAAAATTCTAGGAGTTAAAAATCTGAACTAAAACATATATTATATCACTAATAAAAAGCTAGGAAAATGGAAATAATCTAAGATTGTTATTCAGAAGATTGCAGCGCGGAGCAAAAAATCAAATCGCGCGCCTTTTTCCATTTCTTATCACATTGTAAAATATGTTCATATAAGGTTATTCCAGCAAATTTGTATAAAGTTGTATTAGAAATAATAAATAAAATATACACTTTGAGAATATTTTTTTGAAATGACAGCATTTAGTAATTATAATAATTAGTTGTAAGAAGTTTTCTTTGATATACAAAATAGATATATGCAATCTTGTGACCTAAAAATAGATTCCTTACTCGAAAAAACCATTATAAATTAAAAGTGCTTTCTTGGGACATTGGAATTTGTATGATTTCATTTCTATCTGCCATTTTCTACGGGTTTCTACTGTATACGATTTATTTCGGGTGCTTCTGTAAGCGTAACACAGCGAATTTGATTGGCTAATGGTGAGCTAGTGATCCGAGAACTCGCTGCTCAATCGTGGTTGAGGGCCAGATGACGCTTGGCGTCGATGGTGGAACGGCCGTAGGTGTTGCCCACACGGAATTTGTTGCCCGGAACGTGGCCGCCGTAGCGTGGAATCATGCCGACCACCCGCGGATAGATCACGCCATTGGGATTGGCGAAGGAGCGACCCACGCCCGCCTTCTCCACGGGCACCCACTCCGCGCTGCGGATGAAGTGCATGTCGTTCTTGGGGTAGCACCATCCCTCATCCGGCAGGTGGAAGTCGAAACCAAATCCTGGGGGCATGTGCATAAATTAGTTTGATGGAACCCCTTGGACAAGCTTCACTTACGGCTGGAATAGGACATGTTTTATATTTCCGCAAAAAGTTGTTGATCCCGCCGAGTGTTGCTGCTTAACTGGGTAACTGGAAACTGAATCTAACTATTAATAGCACGCCTGACAGGAGAAGCTTCGACAAAACGACCCCGTTGCCCATGACAACGGAGGCCAGGATTGCCCGGATTGCCCAGATGGCAGCAACAAGTTAGGTCACGACACCGATTTGCATTTCCTGATGCCGTTCTTTAATGGCAATTAATTCGACTCCTCGTAACAACACAATTACCGTGGCATTTAAAAGAGTTATGGGGTACTGTTTATTTTATTACGTTTACTGGTTTACGATTTAGTCATTTACAGGGCGATTGTATTGATTAACAAGATGGAAGGTCTCGGGGCCGGAAAGTACTACGTCAATGATATCCTCGCCTCCATCTCCATCAGTTGGACTTCTTGGCCTTCTTCTGTTGCCTGCTCTTGAGTTTCTCCTGCTTCTTGAGCTCCTTCTCCGTCAGCGATTTGTACAACTTGTAGCCAAAGAGGGCTGTAATGCGGAGAGAAGGCAGACGGTTAATAAGGTGAATGGTTACATCTTGAGATCAAGGGAACTGAGACCGAATATGGAGACCAGGAGAAAGATCACCGCCGACACTTTGGAACTGGAGTAGGTCTGCGCGAAGTGGGCGTGCTGCATTATTCGCTCCTCGATTCTGCCGATCGTCTCCTGGAACTTGTCCTTCATCTCGGCGAGAAACACATGCCGATCCGTTTCGGCCAGGGACTCCAGCTTGCTCTGCATCTCGCCGATCCGCTTGACCAGATCCTGTGAGAACTTGCTACTGGGCCCCGTTCTGGCCACGATCGACTCCACGGACTTTTTCAGCTGCTCGATAACGCCAAGGTCGTCGCTGGATCCCGACAAACTCATGTTGCGGGATTTTCGGAAAAGGTTCTAGGTGGCATGGGTCTCTGGCAAGTACTGCTTTTAGGGTCCCAACTCTATCTGTGTCTGCGGCGGATCCTACGCTTACCACTGGTTATCTTATCGAAAATCGAACGCCTATAAACGAAGCAAACATTCTAGCCGGGGCTCGTGAGTGTGAGTGCTTGGGCAGGGCCGCCTCCAAAAACCTTATCGCCTTTTAATCAGAAACCCAGAGGGTGCGGATATCGCGTCCGATAACGGGTTAAACGGCCGTGGCTCGTTCCGGAGGACGCTTACCAAAGACAATGAGTATGAGGGCCAGCATCACGAAGAACACCAGGTACTCGCGGGAACTGTGGCCCGGATGTCCGTACTGGCGCATGAAGTCATCCGGCGACGGCGGCTTCGGGTTAAAGATGCTCTCGCGGAGCTCGGCTCGCTCGTCATCCGAAATTCCCTCCATGCCTTCGACCAGCTTCCAGATCTCGTCGGCACTGGGCATCTTAAAGTCGGGGTGCCCGGGCTCGGGACCGGCAAAACCATCGGCTCCTCCAGCCGCAGCCGCAGCTGCCACGTCCTCAGCAAAGGCCTGCTGGTTCACCGGATCCTCAGCCATGATCTAATCTCTGTGTGCGGCTCTAATTTACGGGCTGTGTTCTGTGGGCTCTCGCCTTTAGCGGTTCGCGTCTGAATGGATGGTATATAGGAAATCATGGTATTCGGTTGGTTTATGGTTCTAGTTTCTGCATTTCAGCATGCTACTGGGGGGCAAACAAAATCACAGAAACAAACAACGTGGCAAAATAAACTAATCGTACTCGAAAATGGATTTCGATTATCTTTAACACAAGTTTGACACGCGGCATGCAGAGATAATAACGAATGAAACTATTGTACAAATCACATAAACTATGATATGATATGATATTTCCCCAGCTCACACACTTTCCAATATTAACTACTTTTGGCGCTAGATCGCCGGTGCTTACGTGCTGCGGCTTCTGAGGTTTGGCAGGACTGAATGAGTCTCTCTAAAAGTTATATTAAATCAATATGAATATAAACCAGCACTCGTGTAATCAGTCGCAGTATTTCATTATTCCCAGACATTATTCGCTGCGCTTTTCGGTGTGCCTCCTGCCTTCGTCAGCATATTTCCAAAGGTGATCGCAAAGAAGTTGGCGTTGCGGAGAGCATACATATGTGTGTACACGCGATAAGGGAGAGCCACTGCCACTAATCAGTGCCGGTCAGACGAACACATAGAGACAAAGCCCCAGTAAAGAGTCCCACTCGGGAGAGATAGATGGCTACAAAGTTACTATACAAGATGGCCACATGTGCTCACGCCTACAGTTCTCATACCTCAACTCGAACTTCTCGAAGTCTAGCTACAGAATTTAACGCTCCTAGTCAATATAAAATATTAACCAGGCTCATATTGAAATGACTATCCCAATAAAGTTACTTTTGGAGTCAATAGGTTTGTTTGGAGATCTCTGCGAAAATGTGCTATCAACTTTAAATTTATGTCTTCGACAGGTGCGTTTTCCGGAAGAGGTTTGACTGTACAACTCAACTATTGAATGGTGCCAGTTTGATTCCTTATCAGAGGGCCATTATCGCTCTCGAGAACCACAAACTTTTGACTACGTAAGCAAGAAACCGGAATGAAACGCAGTGGCCAGATGGAACACGTAGGACCAACTTGGCAAAGACAATCCGAACGGAAAGTATCTCAAATCAAAACAGATAAGAACGAAAAACCAAACATCCAACAGCTGTGCATTGAAAACAACGGCCAGCAGGCCATTCGATTAAGTTGCTCGCTTGGTGAAAGTCTTTCGACCCATTTAGTCGCTGTTTCGCTATGACTATAAAGATATTACATGCATAACACTGGGAAAGGAGTGGGGGTCTAGGGGGTAGCTGAAAACGGGGAGGGGTCATTGGAAACTCACCTGCCAGGGTAAAAACAACAACTGCCGGCACGTAGAAGGCGAAGTCGGGAATGGATTGCTGGAACGGCGAGCCGGCGTCGGTGAGGTCAACCATGTTGGATCACTGCAAGATTGTCTTTATCGTCTATGGGAAGAGCACTTGTGCGTCTGCACTACTATTCGGGCGTTCCGCTTGTGACTTTATCTCAACAATTGTGAAAAACAAAAACGACTGCGAGAAGAGGAAGCTGCGATTGTCAGACGAAAATGTTGTACTCCCTACGATTCATCGATATATTGCAGAACTAAGCCAGCCATGGCCTGGTCACACTAAACAGCCGATTGTAAGTATCGTTACCAATCAATCGCATGCCGCGAAAATTTAAAACTCGACAAGCAAACAGTTGAGGTACATATATTTTGTGCGTATTTTTTTTAGTCATAACGGACAGAACAACAATGTAAACGAGTATTTTTTTTTTCATATTTTATTCGACTGTTGTAGCCAATTTATAGAGCAGGTGTCAAACTTAAGCAAGGGAGACAATCTGAAAAACTTTCAATTTTTCGTCACAAGTTTTGGTTCAGATATTTTGTATATTGCAGGTGCGATTGTCATGTAATTTCAGCCTATAATTGGCTTTCAGTGATCCAAAATTAGATGAATATAAAAAGATAATTTGATTCTTATTTAATGACTACTTTTTATAAATGTATGTACACTGTACAAGCACCATCTCCATTAAGTAATGTTAGGCTTGTTAGGCACCCAAGCCGCACTGCGTCACGTAGGCCTTGGCCAGAGCACACGGGGCATTTTGAGTCCACCGATGATCGGGGCAGTTCTTGAAGTACTCCATGTAGGTGCACCCGAGTACGATGGCTGAGAAGGGGCTGCATCTTGGTTGTTGCTGCTGCTCCTGTTGCTGCTGCGCCTGTTGCTGCTGCTGCATGATCATAGCCAGTCTGTGTTGCGATTGGGTCTCACATTTGGAGAAGGCCATGGTCATGGCTTCCACATAAAGGGTATCGTTGGAGAACTTGGCGGAGAGATCACTGCGTATGTTGGCCACGTTTAGTTTCTGGGGCTCATCAATATACTTGGACGATGTGAGGATGCACTCAGCGAGGCACTGTGTGGTTAGTTTATTATGTAATGTAATTTGTAAATAAATTAATAGGCTGAGATTACTCACTGCTGCCGTGTCCAATGATGGAGGAGCTCCTGCCTTCTGTCCATTAGCTGCACCTAAAATCCGCTGTGCGCACTGCTCAGCCACCTGGTCGCGACCCCCATCCTTGCAGCAAAGTGCGGGATCCTAGAAAAGTGTGGAGATTGAGAATCACCTTTGAATTCCGGAAAACCAAACTCAAAACCCACCACTAGTTGGGGCGGTCTTTGGCAATTAATGGTGGTTTGGCCAAATACTAGACGAGTATTTAGGGTCAGCAAGGCGAAGATCACATAAAGCTGACTGGGCGACATAGCTGCGATTGAGTGAATAAAATGACTGATATGAATATGAAATCGCAAGGCCCATTTTATATCCCTCAGCTCCACGCAGCTCCACTTCTAATGGATTGAAAAGAGTAATGGCCACTTAATAGTGCCAGCCACGCATGACCAGAAAAGCCCAGCAAAAGTTCATTGTTGCAATCTGCTGCTGTTTGGGGCCAATGTCATAAATAATGTCATGTTTTGGGCCATTGACATTGCAGTAAGGTTATAGTTCGTTATATAAGCATAGAACGTTCTTCGCTCAATTAAACAGCAATTTCCAGAAAAATACTGTGGTGCTGGGAATGCCGATGCAAAGTGTGTCATGGTATTCGAATTAAGGCATAATTGCAAGAATTATGTTTAAATTCGGTTTAAAGAACATGATTGGGTTTCGAGTAATTTAATATTAGTGAAATAATCAATAGGCAAAATCGATTTGAATTTCGAATTCTGCCGCCCAAAAAATCTATCAAGTTGGCAGTACCAGCATGAGGAAGCGGCAATCGAATGCTCAGTTATCGATAACCATGGACGCGGGCACCAAAATGTGAGTAAAACCCATGGTATAAAAAATATGAATTAAGGGTTTAATATTGCTTATTTATCCTAGCTTAGTTGTGGGCGATGTGCGTGGTCGCTTCAAGCAACTATTTCAGCGCGTGGAGCAGGTCAACAAAAAAGCGGGTCCGTTTGAAATCCTTTGCTGCGTCGGTGACTTTTTCGGCGAAGAGAAGCAAAACGAGGAACTGATTGCCTACAAAAATGGATTCAAACATAGTAAGTACAGTGGTATATAATCATGTAGCACTCTCTAAAAGCTCTCCTTCTACCTAGTCACCGTTCCCACGTATGTCCTGGGTCCCAACCGAAAGGAGCACGGAAAATACTTTGAAAATCTGGCGGACGGTGAAATCTGCACCAATCTTACGTATCTCGGTCGACGTGGGGTCTACACGCTGAGCAGTGGTGTTAAAATCGCCTACCTAAGCGGCTTGGAGGCACAGGGCACTGCAGATTCCGCTGGCTCGGAGCACGAGTTCACCAAAGCCGATGTCATCGCCGTGAGGAACTCGTGTTTGGTGTCCAAGAACTGTTCCACAGAGTACCGCGGGGTGGATGTGCTACTCACATCGCAATGGCCATTCGGCATGCAAGAGAAGGAAAACGTACGTTTACATCTGGAGCTTCCGTTACTATGTATTTAATGCCACTTTTCAGGCCACAGCATCCAAGTTGGTATCATTTCTATGTCGTGAGATAAAGCCGCGCTATCACTTTTGTGCCATTAATGGAACGCATTACGAGAGCGCTCCTTTTCGGATGCCCAAAGATGAGACCACCCAATTTGAGCTGTGCACACGCTTCATTTCCCTCGCGGATGTGGGAAATGCCGAAAAAGCCAAGTACATCTATGCACTCAGCCTTAAGCCAGTGGACAAATCACGCTTATTGGACCTGGTGCAGAAGACCACAAATGAAATTCAGTGTCCTTTCATTGGCTTAGACTTGGGCGGAGCTATCAACAAGAATGATTCGGTGGGTAACTTTCAAATATCTATAGGTACCCCAAGTGACTAAAGCATTTACTTTTTCAGTCCGAAAATCGACAGTACTTCTACGACATGGATGGTGGCAGTCGCAAGCGACAAGGCGGTGACAATAACAAACGAGATAAACGACCTAAAATACCACAGATTGAGCAAGGTTTGTCTAGTGCTAAACCTTAAAAGCTGGATCGTTAATACTTTTCCTATCGTTGTAGATAAATGCTGGTTCTGTTTATCCTCACCTGATGTGGAGAAGCATCTCATTATCACTGTGGGCGAACATTTCTACCTGGCCCTGGCCAAAGGACCTATTAACAAGCATCATGTTATGATATTGTCCACCAAACATGTGCCCTGCGCTGCCCAACTCAGTCCAGATGATTGGGAGGAACTGAACAAGTTCAAGGCAGCTTTGCGAAAGTTCTTCAAAACCTTAGGTCAAGTGGTGTGCTTTACAGAACGGCACTACAAGTCCGTTCACCTGCAAATCAACGTGCTTGCCTTTGAAGAAGGCTATGCCTGGAAGATAAAACATAGTTTTGAGGTAGCTCTTGACTATCGAACTTTAGTAAAATATTTTATATATACCAAAACATTTCAGGATAAGGCGGAGGAATTTAATCTGGAGTTCGAGACACTTCCGGCATTGGATTCTGAGAAAATGCTGCCTGAAATGGGACCCTATTTCCTGGCTGAGTTACCCGACGATAGCACACTTATAACGCGGCAAATGAAACACTTTCCCATTCATTTTGCGAGGTGCGTTAACTACTCTATTTAAGCTATCAACTCTTGACTAAACACATTTTTTAGGGACGTGTTTTGTTCGGAAAATCTTCTTAACTGCGACGAGAAAGTGAACTGGAAGGATTGCCTCCTCGATAAGGACGAAGAAGTAACGTATGTGGAAGATTTCCGAAAGGCCTTTGCGCCTTTTGACTTTACAGACGATTAAGCAAGGAACATTGTATGTATAGTAAAAAGTTCATATCGATTGTAATTGCTGAGCCCTTGCTAACAGTTTATCCATGTAAATGCTAAAACTACAATTTAATTAAAAACATATTCGTAAAGTCGTTGCGCTCGAGTAATTTAGGAGTCACGTTGGTAGATTTTGTTCAGTATTTGCAGGAAGGTTTGGTGAGGCACCCCGCGAGAGGTTTGTTGTATGTGAGTTTTAATCATGTTGTAGGATTCCTCCTCGAAAATGGCATACGTGGATGGCAGTCCAAGTTCCTTGTACAGTTCTTTCACTCGCTCTATTTTAGCTGGTTCTGCAGGTTAATTCAATAGTCAATATCTAATTGTGAGGGCTGGTTAAGCTAGTTTTACCTTTTTTGCCATAGCAATCGACCATGATTTGCTTTTGCTCGACATTGGCCCGCTGCATTGCCACCACTGCCAGCCACGAGCACTTGTTGTCCTGAATATCGGTTCCAATTTTACCAGTCACTTCCGGATTGCCAAAGCAGTCTAGGAAATCATCTTGAACCTGGAAAAAGTTGCCCATTTCCAGGAGAATGGTTTTGGACTGACGGAAGGCCTCTGCGTCCTTATAGCTAAACAATAGAGCGGAGGGTAAGCAATCGGAATCTAATGTATGTACGTAAATGGTAGTCATTGCTTACCCAGCCAAGTGCAAAGCAAGAGCGAATGGAAGGTAGAAGGAGTAATAAGCAGTCTTATTTTCGACAATTGCTTTGTAGTTTTCCATGGTGAATTCCGAGACAGAGCGGTTTGAGTGCAGTAGGTCCAACGACTGTCCGCATGTTGTGATGAACGTGATTTCGTGGAAGAGCTCCATTAGGGCGACATAGCAGTCCAAGTGGCTGAAGTGCTTCTTGAGAATGGCATACATGGCGTTTTCGATCATAAGAGAATCGTTAATGGCAGTCATTCCAACGTTCTCCAACTTGTGCCAGCAGGGTTGACCGCGTCTGGTGATGCTGTTGTCCATCACATCGTCTGAGATGATGAAGAAACTCTGAAGCTGGAAGATAATCGATAATTTTGTGTTAGGAAAACTAGTTAGTGCTTAAAACTCCTACCATTTCCACACACCAGCCCAAATACTGGGCCAGTTTTATGTTCTCGGGCGTGAGATCCTGGGCGGGAACAAGATTCTTATACGTGAGCACGGTGAGGATACCGCGGTTCTTCTTGCCCCTCGGCACATTGTACTGAAGTGCCTGGGCAAACCATTTGGCCGCGTCGCTGCAATTGTATGCCTTCGCCACGGTGGTGACGTCACGCACAAGATCTGCATATATCGGAAAGAAATCAGCATTAGTATTTGCATGATAATTGATAATGGGCATAAGTAAACAAATCTCACCTGGGAACACGGCCATAAAGTCGCGACTTTCATCTTTCGACACCGTGACGCGAGCGGCAATGGGAACCGAGTGATTTTGGAGCGTCGATAAGGTTCTGTGGACAAAACAAAAGTTGAGAACAATGAAGTCAACGACTAGCACCAGGCACGCACACAAACACACACACATGTACACATCTATGGTCTACGTGACTGCATACTTGGCTACGATACAAACTTTCTCCCCCACTTGCAGCAATCAAGCAAATAAAATGCCGAAAATCCGCATCCGAAATCACGCCCAAATCAGGCATCCGATACATGCATATGTATACCATCATACCGGTCGAAACGTAAACAAAACAAACAGGCAAAGGTCAAGTGCGAAAACCGGTAGATTGATTACCTGCTAGTCTTCTTCAGCTTTTGCTCGTTGACCAGTTCGGTGGATAGGCCGCCAATGGTGTCCATGGACTTGAGGATGGGCTCCGCGTTGACCTCGTCGCTGGTGGAGATCAGACGCTGCAGGCGCAGCGGGCTAGCCAGGATCCGCTGCTGCGGCAGAAGCATGCGGGCTAGTTTGAACATTTTTATTTATGATTATCGGCAGTTAACTATGCGCTTCACAAAACGGCAATTCAACTTCGGGTACCAAATTGCCAGTGTGACCGGATCGGGATTCGCGAAAGAAACGCTTACATTAACCGCAACCAAATAACCATAAATATGTTTATAGCAACTGTTTTATAGCTAAACTTATTTTTTATTGATTTTGGGAAGAAACATTTTGACTTGAAAATTGAATTTTGAAAAATTTGAATTCATTAGCTGTAGCAACAGAAAATGATTCCTAATTTCGTATTAATCTTAGATATGTTTGCTTGTGTAGGGGACAATAATTAGATGTATAAAAAGTAAATAAAATAACTTCTCCATATTATTAGTGAAAAAAAGCGAAAATAACTTATTTTTAAGTTCAAAATCTTCGTATTGTATTTTACACTGTGCTGTAAAAGTTTTGGTCACACGGTTTCGATCGACAGTGTTGGAAATGGCCTGACATACACCAAAGGCAAATTGGCAGCTAAAAACGCGAATTAAATTAAAATGATGGATGAGCAGCTAATTGACGAGGTGGCACAGCACGGAGTGATCTACAACCGGCAGAAGTACTACCTCAACGGCGGCGCCAATGGCGGCAAGTACGAGACTAAGGACGAGGCCTGGCAGCTGATTGCGATGAAGCTGCGCACGGATGGTGAGGAAGAGGCGCTACTCCGGAAGACCTTATAAGTAAATGTTGTCCTCCTTTCCAGTGGACACGTGCAAGAAGCGGTGGAAGTATCTGCGCGAACGTTACGTCTCCCAGCGGAAGCAGGGCGATCCACCTGTCTACGAACACCTGTCGCGTCCATACCTGGAGAAGATGAAGTTCTTGGACCAGCACATCCAGCCACGCAAGTCCTACCGCCATGTGCCCAACTTCCTAACGTCTCCGCAGTCCGCTAACAGCTCCGGATACAATGAATATCAGGTGGACAAGTCGAATGGCTCCATGAAGAATGTGTCTCAGTTTGGCAGCTCAGGACAAAGTCACCTTTACCACCAGCCGGATCAGCAACACACAATGAGTGCTCTGAGTAATGCCGCTGCATCTGCGCTGGAGAACGTCAATGGCCAGGTGAAGATCGAGGCCGACCAGGTGTTCAGGGATTTTGCGGTTGCCGTGGCCTCACAGCAGCTCCAGCACATATCACAGTCACAAATGCAGCAACAGGCGGCGGCCGTGGCAGCTGTGATGGCTGATTCCTCGCAAGGTTATCAGGATCAGTACAAGGATGGCACCGTGAGCATGAACGGGGCCCAGAACAGCGCTGGCAGTCTGACCTCAACATCATCCTCGATGAAATCACCGCTGTCGTCGCCGCTGCAAGGAATTGTGGCAGGAACACATCATGCTCAGCAGCAGTCGCAACAACAACAGCAGCAGCAACAAGCGCAGCAACAGTCGCCGGCATCTGAACAGCAGCTTCCGGTGGTACATTCCTCTTCCAGCGCCACAGGCGCTTCAATCGGCAACAGTTCCACCCTGCAGATGCAACAGTCACACGTCTATAACGCCAAGGGAGATGTTTTAGACTCTTCGGCATCCAGCAATTTCCATATGAAGAAACCCCGTGTTCAGCTTAATGGCAATGCACACAACCAGATGACCAGCAATGGCAGCCACTTTGGCAATGACTCGGACGACGATTCCGATGATAACAGCCATGATCTGATGGAGCCGCAGGTTCTGATGCAGCAGGAGAATCACTACAGCAACTCGATGCCCATGCAGCGGGGCAATGGGAGCGGGAATAATAGTAGCATTAATAGCGGCAGCAACAATCCCAGCGCCAATAACAGCCACAACAGTCAGCCGCAACAACAGCACCAGAACATGTTTCCGTCAAACACGGACTTCCTCTTCCAGTTATACCAACAGTTCCCACATCAGGCAAGCAGTTCGCATCCCGCCAACTTCGGGAAATTCCAGGCGCCGCCCAATCATCCGGGTGTGCAGCGGTTGTCGGAGCATTTGCTGGGAGAATTAGTCACCACGGAGCTGCTTAAGATGAACAAGGAACGGAAGAAAAGTGCGCAGAAACGAATCCTAGAAATACTATTCTTCGACGATTAAAGCGCTAGCAGCTAGGTATTTGTAAATAGTGTAATCTATTATCCTTAACTTATGTTATTCGTTAGACGGTTGTCAGATAATTGCGTCGCTTTGGTCAAATTTCCCACCAAGAAGTCATTTGCAAAGCTGTGCGACCCCTCGAACACTTTTCAAATGTGCTAGTCAAGATCAGCAATTAGGATTCCATATCTGCATTAATTTATATTTTATATATGTTTAAGAATACAATGAACGGTTTTAATTTATTTAAATTCATATTAAAATTTACTCAATGGAAAGGTGTCTTTCCAAAAGGAAATTTGCTATTTATGTGTAGTTATTAGAATCAAAATGAGCATTTTTGTTTTGTATGTAAGCTCAGTTTCCTCTTGCTCTGCTGAATTTGTCGACCTTACTAAAAAATTTTGTGAAGGGCTGCACTTTTGATGAACCTTGAAGGCGGGGGGTTTTTCTCGGCACGAAAGTTTACAGCCGGGTCTCCACAAGCAATTAGCGTTATGGCAGTCATCATAAAGAAAGAAGTTCCTAATGATATGTAAAGCTTCGTGATCCACTGAGGTTTAATTTCAGTTATGTTCAGTAGCCGCCCTGTTGCTTGATTTATGGGTGGCCTTTGACCGATCCTCCGTTCCTGCGATTGCCCGCAGAGCGGATTGCAAGTGCAACTGCAGCACAGCAAAGCACCGCTGGCTACTGTGTGCAGCGGAAAGTGGCACTGCAACTGGCAATTGGCCTAGCTCGTTAACCCTCGAGTGGCCAAGCGGCTCAATGTGCCACTGCAACTGCAATCCTGCACGCTGATTAATGGCCAGCTTTGCATTCCTCTGGGCAGAACGAAAGTCGGTGGTGATATGGATAAGTTTAGGCTTTATTGCATTTCATATCTTAGCTGGTAGAGAGAATAATTACTTGCTTGTGTCTTCTGTTGTTAGGCTTAGATAAATTATGGTAAATAGCATAAGATCATAATATTTGGATACTGGTCAGTGGTGCAATACTTAGGCTACTTGACGGACCGCCGATTGCACGAGGGTCCCACGCATTTGGCTAGCGTATGTGTTTACTCGCGGATTGTCTTTGATTAACTGAAGTTAAGAACCTTTAGCTTATTTACAACTAATCACAGGAGGATTGGAGTTGGAATCTCAGACCTCCTGATTGTCCTCGGACTCGGCCACCATGGTCAGACTTCGCAGCGATCTGTGAACGAAACGAAACGCGACCGAGCATTAATCAGCGAGCTTAGTATTATTCCAAATATTTTGTAAGAGAACGGGGAGTGATGAGTTCAGATTCATTTGACTGATATGGCTTATCGCCTTCGCAGCCAGCGCAGTCGGAATCCAGCTTTTTAGTCGGAATCTGACAACTCATCAACATGGACTACCAACGCCTCTGCCTGCTTATTGTGTTAGTCTGTTTAGTCGGTGCCCATGCAAGTGAGTCTGATTTCTAGTTGAAGATTGTGCCCAACTTGGAAGTTAACTTCTGGTTTAGTTACAGACGAGATGCCCACGTTCCAAGGCGTGTGCCAGTTGCAAGGCGACTGGTGCACTACCAGGTGCCAGCTAGCCGGAGGACGGGACGGACTTTGCAACAAGGTGGGCCTCTGCATCTGCAGACCCTTGTAGTGGTGGTGGTGATATGAGGGTTAGACAAATCGCAATAAAGGCGAACATATTTACAATTGCGAACGGTGGTCTGGAGCACTTTCTGGGGATCTGTAACACTATGGTCCACCACTTGCCTGGAACGCTCGAAGAGCGAGGGATCCGTGTAGATGGGCTCGCTGGGATCCTCGAACTGGTGGCTACTCTGGTTGGTGCTGCGCATGGGATTTATCACTGGCAGTTGGCACATGCGCGCCAAGTTGCTGTAAAGACATAAAACACACCAAACACCCCATAAGTGGACCGGTTGGGCGATTGGCGACTAGCCGTTCCTCACCCCGTGGCAAATGTCTTGTGTAATGAGCCGCCGAACATGGACATGTTGGTGCGAAAAGCGTTTGAGGCCCGATTCGATGCGCTCTGATTGGCTCCGCCTCCGGTTCCTGCACCTGCTCCTCCACCACCTCCTCCTCCTCCTCCATTCAGGTGGGGCATGTGTCCGATCTCTGTGAAGCGCTCATGGGTGCGTATGGAGGAATGGGAGTGTCCGAGCGAGTGGATCGGCGAGTGTCGGTCCACGAGTCGGTTCTTGGAGATGGATTTCCAGTAGCGTCTGGAAAAGGCGCCAATTAGCACTGATCTTTTGCCAGCTGAAGACATCCTACCTGTAGCCCAGGCCCGCTACCAGCGTGATGCTGAATAGCAGGATCATTAGCAGGATAATGGCTGTGATTAGGCCATGATACTCGGCCGGAGTCATGCACACCGTTTCCACCGGGGCCACTAGCTTGCGGGGATACGACTCCTTCTCAATTTCCTCGCGCGTTTCAAAGACCTAATCGATGCCATTAGCTTATGCAGAATATCCCCGCGAACCAATCAAACACTTACCTCAATCATTTCCCGCACTTGCTCCGGTTCCTCCGTCTCCTTGGTCTTCTCCCCCGACTGAGTCTCGTTCAGCGGAGCCTGACCCAGTGTGGCACTCACGGTGGTGCTGTTCACCACGGTGACTTCGTCTAGTGCGGATGCCTCCAGTTGGCTGCTGCCCTCCAGAGCCAGTGCCTCCGGTTCGGGCATCTCGGTGGTGTTCAGAGATCGCCGCCGGCGACCAAACGAAGGTTCTTGACGACCCGCTGGCCCAGGACAATAGGCCGGCTGACAGCCTTCGCGACAGGAGCGAACGGTGGCCTCGAAGACCAAGAAGTTGGACTCGGGTATCTTGAAGGCATTAAAGCGGGCTTCCAGGGTGTCGCCATCGCGCAGCTTGTCCAGTTCGGGGAAAACAAATGGATCCACGGGGCATCCAAAGCGGTCTATCAGCTGGATGCTGCGGCCGGAATACGGATCCCTGGCCACCACATTGGTGGCAAATATGTCAGTAACGTGGTTGTAGCCATCCTGCGCCTCCAACCGGAAGGTCAGCGGATCACCCACGGCAATGGTGGTTGTGGGTCTGCCCTGGTACAGGATACTCAAGCGCACCTTGGAACTGAGAGTGTTCTCCGCTGGCAGGTATTCAATGGGTATTGGACTGCCGGACCTGCAAAGGAATGGCGCAATCAGAAATTTTGATGCATCAGATGTAGATGAAGTGTCAGCATTACCCAGCTCCTATGTAACCAGAGCTGACCACCGCCTCTCCCGGACCACGGAAGATGCAGGTGAGGTTGTATCGCTTATCCCTGCTGGTCTGCACGTTGTCCGAGAACTGAACCACCACTATGTTGGTCAAAGTGTCGCCGTACTGCAAGATATACGATTAATGATACCATTCGCAATGGCCAATTCTTGGTCACTCACCCGCTGAGTTCCACAGTCGGGATATCCCTGGGGTCCGCTGAGCCTCAGTACGTTGACCGTGCCGCCATTTCCACGGAAGAAGCAGCGATCGTAGAATCCATACGTGTATATACGTCCCAGGAAGCCCTCCGGCGTGCGGATCGTGAACTCCATGCCCTCCTCGTTACACGTTTGCGTGACTAGATAAGATCGGTCGAACAATATAGTTTATTTCAATCAAATGATTTACATCAGCAGGGAATCGACCAACCGTCCATGCACTCGCCATCGCTGCGTCCAATGCTGCGCTCGTAGAAGTCATAGTTGGAGGCGTCGAAGGTGCCCGGATCGTGGATGTCCAGCTCCCGCGAGTCTCTGTCGCTCAGCTCGCAGTTTGGTGAGTCCCGGTCCCGATCCCGGTCGCGATCCCTATCTCTATCCTCGTAGCCAGAGGCAGCCGAGTCTCTGCAAATTGAAATTTACAATGCGAATTGTAGCGAGTATCTTGCAACTGCAGTCCGATCGCATCCCCACCCACCTGTAGTTGAAGCTGCGGCACACAAAGTCCCGCGACTCGATGCACTCCCTCTCACACTGGATGAGGCTGGGGACGATGAGAGCCCGTCGCACAAAGTGGCGGCGCATCTTGTGCCTGGCGGCTATTTGCTTAAAATTGTCGCTCTCCTCGCAGCGGGTGATTGGTGGCCGCGGGGGACCCGAGTTGACACCCACGCCCACACCCACATGACCTCCTCCACCTCCTCCGTACGGAGTGGGCGGATGGGAGAGCCCCAGGCCAGGCAGGGGAAGGGGACGATCGTCTAGGCCGTTGCCGCCATAGGGACGATTGAAGGGACTGTCGTAGCGTCCATAGGGACCACCACTTGGTGGCCTCCTGCCCGGCGGTCCATCGTACTCCCGATCGTAGGGTCCGTATCGATCGCCATACCGCTCCTCGTAGTCGTAGTCGTAGAAGGGAGGTGGTGGGCGCTCCAGACCTAGTGGGGCATACTGGTTAGCATAGATCACCTTACATCTGCACTTGCCACCAATTGAGTTACGGGTTACAAGTTGGTAGTTGGTTAGTCCCAGCCCGAGCTACTTACCCGGTCGCCTGCCAAGATCATTGGCTCCCGGACGGTTGCCATATTTGTAGATGTCAATGGGATAACGATCGTTGCCTACCGGAAACCGGTTCGGGGTGGAGGCATACTTGCTGGCGCTGCCCGTTGGAGCAATTGGCGCTGGCGGGTAACGCTTGGCGGAGTCGGGTTCTGGTCTTCTGGCACTATGTACGATATCATCGTATCTACCCGGGGGTCCACGCGAGTCTGGCAGATAGGGATACCTGGGGGAATCCATCGACGAGGGCCGGTAGCGTCTGTCCGGGAATATGCTGTCGGGAGCATCTCTGCCAGTGTAGCCGCCCACGGGATCCCGTTCCCGGCTGGGTGGGAATCGCGGTGGGTATCGGCCTTCGTATCTGTTTTCTCCATAGCGACCACCACCGTATCCATAGGGCCGGAAGGGAGCATCATCGTCGGTGGGATAGGGTCGAGTATGCGGCAAGTCACTGGGCAGGCTGTTGTCATTGATACCGGGATAGGGCAGTGGACGGTAGGGCAGCCTATCACGCTCGCGATCCCTTTCCCGCTCCGGGTACCGTCGATCTCCGTACCTGTCCGCATAGCGCTCCGGCGGATAAGGCTCCGGGTAGCGATCTCTATCCCGGACACCTGGGTACCGATCCCTGTCCACAGCGCCTGGATACCGATCTCTGTCCACAGCGCCTGGATACCGATCTCTGTCACCAGCAACTGGGTAGCGTTCGCGATCCCTATCGCGGTCTCGGTCTCTATCGCCATTGACACCCGCACCCGCTGGATACCGATCTGACGTGGGTTAGTGAATTAGTTGTCAGTAGAATTAGCATTAGAACGATGTGGGTTTGGTCGTTATGCTTGTGGGATTAAAAGTTAGGAAACTTAAGAAGTAGTTGGCTTACCATATTCATCAGGGAAACGATCGTAGGGCCTGTTGTAGCCAATGCCATCTCCTCCAGTGGGATAGCGGGATCCATAACGATCTGGGGGATAGCGGTCTCTATCGCGATCTCCGCCATATGGATTTCGATCTGGTTGAGATGTACATTAGCAGTGAGTTTAGAGATCATAAAGTGCACTGCCTACCATATTCATTGCCCGCAATGTCCGGATAACGATCGTATGGCCTGCCATAGTCGACGCCCTCGCCCGGTGGCAATCTTGAGCCACCAGAACCCGTTCCGCCATGCGAGCCTCCGCCGCCAGCTGACCCACCCGACCCGTAGCGATCGTCGTGCTTATTAGGCTGTCTCCAGTTGCTGCCCGACTGATCCCCGGGTCGCTTGCCATCGCCGCTGCCACCGTGTCCACCGCCAGCGCCATCGCCATCGGCGCCTCCGCCCACCACGTTCACTGGAAGACACAGAACCAGCAGCCAAGTCAGGGATTACTGGCCCGCTATTAGCACCTCCTCCAACCACTTACACATGAGATTCTCGTAGTAATCATAATCAGCATCGTATATAATGCGCATGCCGTCCTTTTGATTGTACCGACTCAGGCGACAAGTACGAAAACGATCGCTGTACACCGCAGACCTGTAATTTGCGACGGGATAGAGTGGTTGCGTTAGTGAGGCAGTAGGAGAACCAGAACGACGCTAAGGTCCAGCGACGAAGATGGGAGTTCTCTTTAAACTCACATGTCTACATTAATTATATGTGGCTATATCTATATCAGTTGTCTATGCTGTATATATCTATATTAATTATATGTTGCTGAAAGTATGTGTGGCTATAATACTTCAGCTTACACGATAGTAAGTAGTTTCACCAAAGATGAGCTTATTTCGAGCAAATAATAGGGTGTGCCTCAAGCTGAGAAGACCTTTTGCAGGGTATGGAAACGAGAATGGCAACGGCAACCGCCGAGGCTGTAAACGCACCTGCACTGGAAGCTCGTCTGGCGAAGACACTCGTCCAGGCACTCGCTCAGCGAACGGCCCGTGATCTCGGAGTGAAACTCGCCGCCCAGCCTGGAGTTGCGGTACCGCTGGAATGCTGTATCTGGCCGCCGGCCGCTGGAGAAGAGGTGCGAGGTGACTGAGTTATCTGGATAATCGTTGGCTCGTTCTGCAACGGGAATACAACATAGCATAGAGGCAGATGTAGCTGCAGGAGTGGAAGTGGAAGTGGAGATGGTTTTGGATGCAACCGTTGTGATGGCAGCGGCACCACTATAATCTTGTTGTCGCTGTTGACTTTTCTCGACTCACACGAGATCGCCTTTACGGTAGCCACTTACGATTATCGAGGCACACCAGATCGTAGAAATGGTGTGTGGGACTGGAGCTGATGCTAATGTCATCCTTTTGCGATATGGAGTCCTCCTCCGAGAGGATGCACTGTTTGCTCTGGTCGTCAAACTCCACGGATCGGCAGAAGTATCTGCGGTGTGCAATTAGCTTAAATGATGCTGAAATAGAGATATTATGCAGGTGCCTTACTTCTCGGCCCGCAGGCACATGGTCTGGCACTCCTCCAGCGTCATATTATTGAATATGTCCACCTCGAAGGGGCCACCCAGGCGCTTGTTCTCCTCCTTGACGAAAACGGCCAGGCCATCGCAACGTCGCTCGGCTAATCAATGGTTCGGAAAGTGAGTCCAGGCACTGGTGCACCATAATCTGGACTTACCGTTTAGGCAGGTGTTCTCCAGGTAATCGGAGTTGGGATCGTCTTCCATCAGTTCGGGATGGGTGCGTCGGGTGAATCTGCTCAGCGTGCAGGAGCGCATGGTGGAATCAAAGTTCGCCGATCGGCACACAAAGGAGAACTCATTCAGGCACTTATCCTCACAGTCCGAGCGATTGGCCGCCGTGATCTCCTTAATATCGCTTATGGGCAGCTTCAGTTTCTTGCGCGGATGCCGCTCAAAGACGTACCTTCTGCTGGGGCACTCCCTCTCCGGGCGGCTGGCTACGGATTTAAGGGTATCATGGAAGTATGTTTCCATATAATAACGCTGATTGCACTTACAGGTCAGGCAGATCTCGTTGAAGTGCACACTATTGGGCACCAGCATTAGGCTTCCGATGCCCTCGGGCCCCGCCTGCTCGGATGTCAGGTAGCACAGGGACTCCTCGTACTCGGAGTTGCCTCCAAAGGAGGTGATCCGACTGCCTGGCTGGAAGTCAAAGCTGGTGCACGTGCGCACCAGGTTGTTGGAGCCGGATCGGTCGCGCAGGCATAGGTCCTGGCACTTCTCCAGCACACGGAACGGTGGCGCCGTGTCCCGCACCACATCATCGTCGTAGCCCTGGAGCTGCTGGTTGGGCAATCTTTCGTAGAGCACGCGGCCTAGGCCGTTCTTGCAGGTGGTTTGACCTGCGATTATCGAGGAGAAATGGTTATATCACTGGGCTATAGTCGCTCAAGATGTTGGATGAAGATGGAGATCATATCACAGATGGATTAATATATGTTTGGTGTATAACAACTAGCAAATGAGGTACTAGAGATATTCATTTACTGCTGACAAGGCTATGTACGTAGTTTAACTTACCATTAATTTTACTGAGACTTAGACCAACCAATAGGGCCGTCAGCAGCAGGTGTATTCCGCTTCTAGGTCTCATGCTGTATGATCCACAATGGTTCGATTTGGAGTACTTGGAAAGGGGTTTTCTAGCTGGATCGCGGCATTTTCACCGCAACCTGGCTTTGGGATTTGGGTATGGAAACTATTGCGTGTTTGGCGTTTAGCTGGAAGCAGAATTCGTGGTTAGTCGCGCTGGTTTATCCGACATGATCTAATTAGTTCATTGGCCAACAAAATGACACGAAGTATGCGACCTCAATAGGGAGAATTTCCCCGCGACGAGATGTGTGGCGGGTGGAAAACGGGAAAATCACATGAATAGTTAAATATATTTCTGCCTTTCTGCCGCCATAATGTGCACAATGCGTAACGTGAATTTGGATCATTAAACGAAAATCTAGCCGAGCTACGTGTCGCCCCACTCATATCGATCCGCAACTCCGGATGTCGCTTCCGGCTTTTTGTCCACTCAACTCTTTATGCTCTCCGCACAACCCCATTGCCACAAAAGCGAAGTGGGCTTACGGAAAGCGTTAGCTGTTGACCTCAAGTGGTGGCTGTACTTGGAAAGTGTCGCTTTGAGCTCCGAACGCTTTTCCAAAATTGTGAAATTCACTGTGAAAGGTTACAGCTTTGGTGGAAGGAGCTATACGATATTGAGCCTATTCTTAGAGATCCTTTTTATCTTAAAGGTTTGTTTGTCCGTTGTTCATGAATTACGGAGGCATAGGAAACTCTAAAGGATCAGGATCCTTAAAAAAGTTGCTTTATACAAAAAATGTTCAAAATGTTAGGATAATCTTAATCTTAGGATCAGTCAATGTTAAGATATATTGAGTTTGTCATTTGATTATCCTTTGATTCACTTTATTTGTTGCTCCCGTATCTATTTTATGCCTACACGAAAAAGTTCTAATTCTTCCATTGCTCTGTACCAAATGTCCTGGGAGGTTTACATCCTAAGCAGGATTAGGTATATTCCTTAAAACACTTTAGCGATGATGTATCACTTCATGATACTCATGTTTGAAGGTCACTGCTGGGCACTTGATAATTTGAATACCGTTTGTTGCTGCAAGGATATCCGGCTAATGGTATTGTAAACTGAAACGATTATGGGCTCAAATGGTTTATTGGGGACCGAAGCCGACCGATCGTTAGAATATGGCGCGACAAACTGAATTCGAGAACCCAACTTGGTGGCTGGTCTGCAGTCGGATCGGTGGTTGGACCATTACGATTACCATTACCATTACCATCGCCATCGCCATCGCGATTGCCAATGCGATTACCACTTGCGGGGGCAGCGGCCCCGACTCCATGGCAACAATGGTCGAAATGGGGGAATTAATTAGATGTGGAGACAGCAACAAAGAGCCATGGGACACAATGTTTTAAATGCTCGTACGTGGATTGCCATTCAAATGTTAATCAGTGCGGCGAGCAGACCCAAGTGGACAAAAGCCCAGCCACCACCCACTCCACCCTCCAAATTGGGGAGTCGCCGGTACACCAAGAACAATAGTTGTAAAGCTATTCAAATATATTCCTTGTATGATGCACAAGTATATATTGCGGGAGAGCACCTTGCCGGCAGATGGATGTAAATATTAGTTTGGCAAATATCTCCCTTCCGCCTTTTTGTCTTTTGAATTTCGCGGCTATGTACAAAGCGCTACAGAGCTCGTATCTGGCAATACTATACATAATTTGAAAGGTCTTGACATAACCTACAAAACGACGCTATGCATGATTAGTTTGGATATTGCGTTCAACAGTTATAGACGTGTAAACATGGAGTTCACTAACGCCGAAATTCGCGCTATTTTAAAGTTTTCCTTCGTTAAAGGCAAATCCGCCAGAGAAACGTTCCGTGAGATTAATGGTGTTTTGGGGGATGGTACTCTATCACTTCGAACCGCGGAGGAATGGTTTCGACGATTCAGAGCCGGTGAAAACGACACCATGGATAAGCCAGCCGGCGGAAGACCTGTGACGACAAATACCGATCAAATCATGGAATACATCGAGTTAGACCGGCATGTGACATCTCGTGACATCGCCCAGGAGATGGGAGTTAGTCACCAAACCATTTTAAACCATCTGCAGAAGGCTGGATACAAAAAAAAGCTTGATGTTTGGGTGCCGCATGATTTGACGCAAAAAAACCTTCTGGATCGAATCAACGCTTGCGATATGCTGCTGAAACGGAACGAACTCGACCCATTCTTGAAGCGGATTGTGACTGGCGACGAAAAATGGATCACATACGACAATATCAAACGGTCGTGGTCGAAGGCCGGTGAATCGTCCCAAACAGTGGCCAAGCCGGGATTGACGGCCAGGACGGTTTTGCTGTGTGTTTGGTGGGATTGGAAGGGAATCATCCACTATGAGATTGCTCCCATATGGCCAGACGCATAATTCTACCATCTACTGCGAACAACTGGACCGCTTGAAGCAGGCGATCGACCAGAAGCGTCCAGAATTGGCCAACCGGTAGGGGGTAGGTTTCCACCAGGACAACGCCAGACCACACACTTCGTTAATGACTCGTCAGAAGCTACGGGAGCTCGGATGGGAGGTTTTATCGCATCCACCATATAGCCCGGACATAGCGCCAAGTGATTACCACCTGTTCCTGTCCATGGCGAATGCCCTTGGTGGTGTAAAGTTGAACTCAAAAGAGGCTTGTGAAAAGTGGCTGTCCGAGTTCTTCGCAAATAAGGAGGGGGGCTTCTACGAGGGAGGTATTATGAAGTTGCCATCTAGATGGAAACAGATTATCGAACAAAACGGCGCATATTTGAACTAAATCCGATCACTGTAACACTTTTTATAAGGCATTGAATAAAGAGCAAAAAAGCGGAAGGGAGATATTTTCCAACCTATTATAAGCAAGACAGGAATGACACTGTTGGCAGAGTTATCCGATTTTTGTCAGTGCACAAGAACACGCACCGGCTAAATTGGGTGTGTTGTTGAAGTTCCGAGAGTGGTGGAGCTATTCGTTCTGGCCGAATGTGCACATGGCACATAATGACATTTCGGCCGGTCAACGTTTCATGGACACGGGCGACTTTCCCAACTTGTGAAGGGCATGGAGCAGCATCTGCTCCAACTCCAAATACCAAATACTAAATAGCAAATCTAAACGATCACCGCTCCCCATTGTCCGGCGTTGGGTCAGATCATGACAATGCGTGTCACGTCTGAATAAGTTCGAGGCTGGCTCCGGAGGCACTGCATCATGGGCTAGGGCTCCTCCTCTGCACTTTGCAGCTGGGTTGCACCTGTCGCCGCTGGGTGTGCGTGGGCCAAACCCCATTGTGCCAACCGAGTGTCAATGGGCGCGGCGACAACCCAAACGAGCCATGCAAATGCAAATGCAAACGCCCAGAAAAGTCCAACTTTTATTTTCACAAGCCACATACTCGTACACTACGGACTACATAGATTCCTGCATCACGGCCAGCAAGCGATAGCAATTCTTCAGAACCTGAAGAGGAACCATTGATATATATCTCTTATTTCATGGAATATATGCTGTAGCCTTACAAGCATATAGGTGCCCAGGGTGAAGGGCAGAAAGGGTTCGGCCACATACATCAGGGGCTTCTGGGCTCGTAGTATCACAAAGGATATATCCCTCTGGATGGCAGGCGACTTGGTGTGCCAATCGTTTATGTCAAAGGCAGCCTGAGCCACCTCCAAGGACTGTGGATGAAAATATGAGAGGGGAATCTTAAAATAAACGGATTTTTGTATCTAGGTGGGATATCCAAGGAAGAGACGTGATTGTATATCATTCGTATATTCGATTACCTAAATAAAGTTTCTATTTGAATGTGTATATTTGACCTACCTGGGTATAAACCAAAGTACCAGAGACGCACCAGAGCGACAATTGAATGAATGCCACCAGCATGAGGAGCACAAACTTGGCAGCCATTTTAGGATCCACGGCAGCTGCAGCCATGGTCTCGAAAGTGGATATGGAAATCAGCGAGAAACTGGCCATCAGCTGTGCATTGAAGGCGCCATTGAAAGCTCTATTGGCTTTCCCCACCAACCTGCCAAAGAGCAGCTATAGTATTTGTAAATGGCGACACATTAAGCTCACATGATGATGTGCTGGTGGAAGCGAACCACTCGACAAAACTCCTCGTGGAACCTTTTGTCAGTGACCTTCATGTCGCCCAGATTCCGCATCTCGATGCAGAGCAACTTGAGATTGAGCGCCGTCTGCAGAAAGGTGGAAATGCCCACCATGTCCACCATCAAGATGCTCATCAGGTTGTGCTGCGAGGTCAGACTCTGCCAGATGTAGAGGAACCAAAACGTGTACGGATGCAGATCCTGGCGATGCCATTGAAACGGATAGACGGAGTGGAAGGGCAGCTTTCCCTCGCCCAACAAGGGTTGCAGGAAAATGGCGGCACTGAAGAAGTTGACCAGACAAAAGCAGTTGATGTATAGGCCCGATTCGATCACGTAGCACAGCCGCTGCCAACCCAACACCTCCTCATCGGTATTGTGGGGCCTCAGCTCCCGGTTGTAGTAGTCAAAATCCCAAATAAGTTCATCGATCTCGTTGCAGCGCAAATGCATGTAGAAGATCTTGGTGAAAATCAGGGCCATCTATCAGGCAGAAGTAACCATTAGTTTGTTTATTCGCGAGTGGGCGCATCGGACAATCTCACCCCCGAAATCCAAACCAAGTCGTCGCCCATTTCGATCACGTTCTTCGACTCGGGCAGGGCCACGAACATGGCCCAGAAAGTGGCCATCACATTGCACATGATGAACCAGTTAATACATCGGTACAGAGACAAACTGGCCAACTTCTTGTTGGGATACTGGCCCAGCAAACTGCGAGCAATGCAGAAGTGGATTACATAGATTGAACCGACTGATGGCCGATGCATCCAGCACTCACCACAAGAAGGCGCGAACATAGTTAAAGGCCAGGCGTGGGATGAGACCGGGACTTTCCTGCCTCAGAACCGATCGGAACTCGTCCAGGAAAAGCCGCGAAAGGCTCAGATTTGATTGATAGCCCGCGTCGCTCATTGCGCACAGTATTAACTGAGCTGCGGACTGGCGGCCGGTTCCTTTTATACAAGGAGGCCTCCAGGGGCTAATTACCATGTTTATAAGCAATTGTTTTGCAATGAAAACGCCCACCAGGTAGATTTCCTTAAATGATATGATTGCATTGCGAACATGTGCTGCAAGTCTCACTGCTCCAATCGATTAGCAGCTACCTCATCTCGGATGATATAGTTTGATGGACCCTTCGGTCAGTGAACCCCGCCGGTCAGTTGGCTTCGCGTGACTCAGGTGCTCCATTAGATCATCAGCATCATTAAGAACAATGTATAATATATTGCATAAATGCTGAATTCTGTTTATTCACAGTTTTTGAAGCGTATAGCAAAACATGATCATCGCAAAGTGCTCCTCACTCCACCCAACGAAGCAAATAGTTGCGCTGAGTTAAGTTCAATCAACCTGGCTTCAAACACTTCCTGTAGCATATCACCGCCATGTGCGGAGCCCATCTGCATATCTAAGCTGTGTACAATGAGTTATGTCTTAATCAGGATCCCCGGACGTCCCGCAGAGACACCGATATCATATGTACTCGATGCAGTAGGAAATCCAGTTCGATATTCAAATTTCGCCGGCACACTTTTCGTCATAATCCCGTGGCCTGGTAGGCGGCTCGATACTGGTTCTGGTGTCTATGATGGCCAACTGGGCATCCGCTACCATGCCAACATGCTAATGCCACCGTCTGATGGCTGGACACGGACATCCATTTAGCAAGGCCATTGGAATCAATCTGGGATTAGACTAGAGCAATGGGTCCAGGGAGTTCAGGGAGTCCGGGAGTCCAGGGAGTCCAGGCAGTCCAGGCAGTCCAGGCAGTCCAGGCAGTCCAAGTCAATAGCCCCCAAGTTGTTGGCCTGTTGGCGCGCGTCGCCCGTAATGTTTGTAATAAAGTGTGTTTTATTATAACCCACGGACTAACCATATAATGGTACCATAATGGGCCGGCCATTAAAACAAATTGATATCAATTTTGCAACAATATGTGCACAAGTTGCGTCGATGACTCCGCGCCTCGTCATTGAACTCCATCCCATCCAATTCCATTCCATGCCATCCCATGCCATCCCATGCGAGCCAGCCAGAAGCGTTTGCAACCACATGCACCACCTCATCCACAGTTGAATAGTTGAATTGTGGATGGGGTTAGTGGATAGTGAATAGTGGATAGTGGTGCTGTAGCACTAACAGTATAGACCAGTTCCGAGTTGGCAAAGCGCCGTTTGATGCTCTAATTTATACAGCATACTGATGAGTTGACCGCTGTTCTGGAATTGTTCTCCTACGGGTTTGTGTTTGGATTGCTTCGGATTGCCTGGCTCTGGTCACGAAAAAGCTGCAGATCAGAGCACACCTGACCAGACACGGTATCAGTAACTCACCCAGAAATGGAAATATTCGTAGCGGTTAGCGTTTAATTGAAATGCATTTGGCTTGTTGGCTGTCAATCAGCCGTTGCGATGGATGGATAGGCCCCGGAACTCGGCCTCCCAGTGGCCGAAGGGTAATGGAGCTATTGGATCTTGGCCAGGACGCACACGCAACCCCACGGCGCCGCCGTACGCCACTTTGCCAAGCCATCAAAACTGCTGAGCCACATCCATAACCACATCCACACGCAATGGGGATTCTTGGTAATGACGATTCGCCTCCTGCTTGGATTTTAATTATTCAATCTGAGCAACGACTGTAATAACAATTATCAGTGTGTTAGCCGAAATTACCTCCGATTGACACCTGATTTTAGCAGTTGTTTCTTATAAATCGACTATTTAAATAAAACACTTTCCTAGCTTGGGTAAAAAATTATTTCTGCAATGGCCATAAAACTTTAGAAGCAATTAAATGTGACGAAGCGTAAACGGTAGCCATATAGACTATGGTTTGACACCTGATTTTAAGTACCAATTAAGAGTCGCTGAGCAATAAAAAACGCCGTTCTGTATTAATATTTAATTGAAGTGCGTGATGTGTATTTAATTATAGCACTTGCCGAGCAACTTTTAGCATCTAGTTGACAAAGTGGATCCTTCAAGAGCGAGCTCAGAGAATCTTTCCACATTTATACTTCAAAGTATCAGTATGTAGAAGTTTATAAAAGTTGCGTAGATAATAACCCAAATATAACATATTAAAAAAGCCATATACGTGGCGGCAGAGATGGTCAACCAGGACAGAGCTCCAGTAATTACCAACCCTGGAGCTGGATGGACGATGGACACTCGCATCCTCCATTAACCGTTATGGACTCTGGACTCGAAGTGGACCAAGTTCAATGAGCGCATTTTCATGTTTATTGCAGAAGCAATTGGTAATAAGTGCGCGACCGCAGACGTGGAAAAAAGAACACATTTCTCAATCGTTATTTATGAATACAATTGCAAGTTTGCTTAGCTCAGCCGGAGGCACCGCACACTCCACTCCGCCACCAGCGTATCAATAACAAGGTAAGATGAGGCGGAGTGCCGGGAATTGGTGGCCAGAGGGGGAGCAGCTGCCACTGCAACAAAAAATTTTTAGCTAAATACTAAACCATATACTATAATACAATTGGTTGGAACTTGGTTGTTCTTCTATGAGTTATATTACTCTACTTCTAGACAGACGTTCCCAATGTGACGCCTTGAAGTTCAGCACTTTTCTCCCTGTGTACGCACGCCAGACGTGAACTGGTTTCCCAGTTTTCCAGCAGCAGCAGATCAGACGACTCACCGCAGCCAGCGGCCAACCAACGACGTGTGCCCAAAGTTTGCATAAGTTAGACCTCGACATGGCATGGACATGGACGAGGACTGGGATGTGGATGTGGCTGTGGATCCGGACTCGAGCGGAGACCGGGACCTGGACCTGGACCTGGACCTGGACCTGGATCGGGCTTCTTTTTACAGTTAAAGATTTATGGATCATGCATGGCTAAACGGCGAACAGATACGCGGCAATTGTGTGTAGGTAACGCAACGCGAAATCGGGCACAAATTTATTCCAGAACCCAAAGATAAGAACCCAGAGGAGCAGGAGCTCCACTGATCCAGAGATTCCGAGCTCCGGACTCCGATTGACACAGAAATACAAATTCGAACAGTGAGCGTCATAAAATGCAGATAGACACAGTCATAAAAGTATAAACAAATGGTCGCAGGCCCATTCTCGAGAACTGTATTCTGTATTTGGACGAGATAATGTGGATAATGTGGAGTAGAGTGGCTGCCAGAAGGCGGTACGCTGGGTATCATTAGATGGAGATCTATGAAACCAAAACTTTCTAAATGACGGGCGGCAACTTTAGCGGCAAAAAACCAAAACTGTAAATGCAGCCAAAGCAAATAGTTGCAGCCGCGTCGCCAACTAAAGTATAATTATTGGCCAGACGAGATGGGAATGAAGACGAAGACTGCTGACTGTAGACTGCAGACTGTAGACTGCATACTGCATACTGAAGACTGAAGACTGAAGCCTGCTGTAGCTTTGCAGTCTCCAACTGGGAAACTGCACGTACGCAGCGCGGACAAAAGGAGATGCCAATATTTCTATAAATTTCTATATATATTTTTTGTTTCGTTGTCGTTTTGTGTGCCACTGCTTAACTGTTTTTAATTGAAACCCGTTTGCGGTAATTGTCTTTTTGGCTTGTTGCCCCGACCGCCTTACTATATATGTTATAACTCGCTTATGTCAAACGTATTGGCTGTGTAATTTGAGGCAGCCCCATAACTCCACCTGCCGTGGAGCTTTTCGAAAGTTTTCACTTGTTCTGCGGCACGGATCTCCGGATCTATGGTTTTTCCTCGATCTGTAGATCGTGGATGCGCAGAACCCGCGGATCCCATGAAGTGCAGCTGCACTCGAGCGCAACTAAAGCGAGTAAATTGTCATAAATTGAGTTGAACCAATGACAAATGACGTGTTTTTTCTTGGTCTGCAGCTTTTATCAAACTGGAGCGTGAATCTACGAACGGTACTGGGGATTCCTGTCATTTCTACCGCCGGCCACACGGCGTATGCGCGATACGCGATGCGCGATGCAGAACCTGTCCCAGTCTTTGTTAATTAGTCTGCAGTTAGAGATCTTCGCCTTCACACATCACAACACGCAGCTTTAGCCCGCAGTTGGCTGCTCGGCTGTTTGGTTGTACAATTTGTCAAAACACAAACGGACCGAACTTATACTTTCAAGATATAAGAGCGTGGAGCAGAAAAGAAAACTCGTTTAAGAGCGCACCGCCTCTCTCCGGCACTTTTCTTCTGGCTTCAGTCGTCGGACTCGGATTCGGATTCGGCTTTGGTTTCTTTGAGCTGCGGATTGCTTTGGCAGTCGCTCCACCGACGGCGACCTTGATAGACGTCTTAGCGGTTCGAAAGATATCGAGGAAAATCCCTCAAACCCTCTGAGTAACCAGCAATCGCGAGGAAAAGCCGCCGTCGACTTCGCTTTCTTTGCGGCCAAACAGAGGAAAACAAAGAAACCGAAGAAGCGAATTTTCTAAAAACAATAGCAGCAACAGTTAGCGCGACTCTGGTTGTTTATGTGTTATTTAGTGTGTGGCACGAGATGAAGTTGTTTCAAAAATGCTGAAAAACGTGCAGAAAATGCTGCCGAAGAAATGTGTGAAAATGCCAGCAGATGCAAAGTGAAGTTAACCAAGTTAACCAAGTTGAAGCCGAAAAAGAAACCGCTTAAGTTTATGTGCGAAAAGTAATCCTGGGTGTATCTAGTCGGGAAAATTAACGGCCAAAGGTGCTGATTTATTCACCTGAACTGAAACCGGGCTCTGCAAAGTGAGTACTTGATGAAAAAAATAAAATTGGACTTATCGCGACCAGATCTAGATTTTGTTGGCTGCCAAAAGGGCTTGCTGCGCCCTTGGCTCGGGCTAATCAGACCATTGCCAATTGAGTTTAGGTCACTGGGCATGGGCACACTCTCCCAAATTGAAAATCTGTTTTATTTTTTTTCCTCA